CCAGCCCTACAGAAAGTACTGGAAGGAAAACTCCAACCTAAGAAATTAACTATACTCGCATAAACATAGGCAATAGATAATTCCACTCTACGAAAACACAAAATAAAGGGCAGGGTAAATCCAAGTACAATACCAGTACCAACAACAAACCAAAACAAACTCGTCAAGCAAAGAAAATCTGAAGTCTAACAAATCCATAACACAAAATATCCAGGAAATTTGGGACACCATGAAAAGACCAAATCTAAGGATAATAGGTATAGAAGAAGGTGAAGAAATACAACTCAAAGGTGCAGGAAACATATTCAACAAAATCATAGAAGAAAACGTTCCCAACCTAAAGAAAGACATGGCAATGAAAGTACAAGAAGCCTACAGAATGCCAAATAGAGTGGACCACAAAAGAAAGTCCCTTCCTCACATAATAATTAAAATACCAAATGTACAGAATAAAGAAAAAAATATGAAGAGCAGCAAGGGAAAATGCCAGGTAACAAATAAAGGCAAATCTATCAGAATTACACTAGACTTCTCCATGGAAACTCTGAAAGCTAGAAGGACCTGGGTAAATATTCTACCAACTCTGAGAGAACATGGATGCCAGCCCAGATTACTATACCCAGAAAAAATTTCAATCACTATAATTGGAGAAAACAAGATATTCCATGAAAAAAACAGATTTAAACAACATGTAACCACTAATCCAGCCCTACAGAAAGTACTGGAAGGAAAACTCCAACCTAAGGAAATTAACTACACACGCATAAATATAGGCAATACATAATCCCACTCTACAAAAACACAAAGTAAAAGGCAGGGTAAATCCACATACAATACCAGTACCAGCAACAAACCAAAAACAAACAAGAATAAACAGTCAATGGACCTTAATTTCCCTCATATTAATGGTCTTAACTCACCTATAAAAAGACACAGGCTAACAAATTGACAAGAAACACACCTCAAATTCAAAGACAGACATTACCTCAGAGTAAGGGGTTGGGATAAGATACTCCAATCACATGGATCCAAGAAACCAGCTGGGGTAGCTATCCTTGTATCTAACAAGATAAACTTCAAACTAAAATCATTCAAAAGAGATGAAGAAAGTCATATAATATTCATCACAGGAAAAATCCATCAGGAAGAAGTCTCATTTCTAAACATCTATGCC